TTATTAAATGTTAATATATTAAAATATATAATATGTTTTCAAATTTCGACATCAACATTTAATAAGATGAGATTTTAATTTTTAAATATAACTTAAAACTCTAATTATTTGTAGGAGTCAGTACCAATATGTAATCTCTTATATAAATATATAATATTAGAGATTAACTACTTAGAATTATAAAGGTTTGAATCCTTAATCTCAACTACAAATTAATGCTTTATAATTAGTAAATATATACCAACTCTACTAATTAAGTTTATGTTGGCAGTGACTCAATTATATTCTTATTTGTAAAAGTTGTTTTCTTTATGATTTTTGTTTGACACCATCCACTTGAACAGCTAATTAACTTGATATCAAAGTTTGAACTGCTAGCTCTCTATATATCAATTAGAGTAGGGGTGAAATTCATGGAAACTAAATCAGCTAAGTTCTTGTCCGTGAAATTATTTTCTTTATTTTTTTGTTCAATTTAAGTGTAATCTGGTAGTGCTGCTATTAATCACAAAAATATAAATTTCTGTAACATTAGTGGCCTGGTTGTAGGCTAGAATATACAAGAAGATTTTACCCTTTGTGATCTTTGGAAATGGAATGTCAATCAACAAAATAGCAAGCAAACCATTTTACTAAAGTTATTATGGGTATCTTAATAGTTAAAATTTTAAAAATTTATATTAGATGTTTCAAATTTAAATTTTGAAACCCACGTTGAGAGATTAAGGGGAGGTGGGGCGGGGAGAAGTTCCTTCTATTGTATAGTTTACATAAACAAAAGACTTACAAAATAGTTTAGATAGAAAAATGCATGTCCGAGCTCAAAATGAGCAAAATGTATAAATGAACTAAGCATGTGTGTGGATTCATTATTGACATTTTGGTCATTTTCATTGCAAGGCTGGACTTTCTTTTTCAAAAAAATAAGATAAGGGCTAGCTCTAGAGTCTATGTCTTTTGGGTAAAGCCATTTTGAAACTTAGGGCCCATTTTGTTAATATGCTTTTCTGGAAGAAGAATCCAGGGAATACGTGAGCCATAAAGCATGTGGCATGTCCTAGAAAAACCAAAGCAACTTTTGTAATTGCTTAATAATGAGTTTATCAATTATATTGTGTCTTATAATTGATTAGAAAAAGTGTATAACCAATTAATGCTCCTAGAATATCTTTTTCCTGCATTTTTTTTGAGGATTCCTTTCCTAGAGAGTTAAACAATTATATACTTATATAACCAATTAACTCAATTTGAACCTGAAATTTACATTTCTTGGACCAAGCCATTTAATTAGATTTGGGCTCGGTTTCCCTGGATTTTTCTTCTGTGGAAATAACCAACCAAACGGACCCTTAGAGCATTCCTCCTAATTTCTGCAATTTTGGCTTCTAGTTTCTCAACTTCCACCGACTTGCATTGATGTTAACTTCTTTTGATATGATTTTATAAGGCAGCTTATGTTGAACATTCTTTCAATCTGATTGTAACACATCTGCATATATTTGCACACATCATATATTATATATAGCTCATGTCAGGCTCTGTCTAGACCAAAAGTGTGACTGACAGTTTGAATTACCTCCTATCCTCAATGACATAAGGACAGGAAAAAAACTAGGATGCCATTGTAGCTTTTCCGGATGTTTGATCTGCCATTTATTTCGATGCCACAGGAAAGAATAACAACTACATGAGACCAGTGTCAAGAAGAGCAGTCCTGAAGGAGGAAACGAGTTGGTATGATCAAACTCATCTATGATTTTCTCCTTCTGAAGTAATACATGCTTTAAAACTTTTTATTGCAGGTTGAGGCCAACTATTTATGATCAAGTGGCACTTACAGGTAGTATTATCTAGTCCCAGAGAAGATCCCATTACTTGTGTCGCCTTCTTAACTCTTGTTCGTCATATATTTTTCCGAAACTATTATTGTTGCAGGTTCCACTAAGCTTTTATTTGATGCCCATGTACGATTTGGTTGACCTGACTAGACAAGCTTTGGACAAATATGCAAGCCAGCTATTCTTGGAGACGATGAAAGCAAATCAGTCAAAACTCAAAAGATATCCTTGGAGTTGAGAATCGCAATCAAAAGGCCTTAAACCTTGTTGAATATTTGGCCCAATGGTGATTGATCAGAGAGCAGGGGTGTGCGCCGAGTGGAGGTGCTGAGGAGAATAGAAGCCTTCTGTTCTTCTGGTGTCCACTCTTGGCACAAGTATGGAGGGGAGTTTTGGCTCATCTTGGATACTTCAGGCCTCCTCAAAGGTGGGAAATAGAGTGGCAATGGTTGTCTGGTGAAGGGAAGAGAGAAGTATTAGAAGCAAAAGAATGAAAATTGCATTCAGTGCTACTGTGTACTGAATTTTGATCATTTTGATTGATTTCATCTCTTCTGAAAATACAGTTTGAGCGGAATGCAAGAACTCAAATAACCATGTGGTTTGACAACAAAGAGGAGGAAGCAAGTCTATTATGTGATTATGTAAGGAGATATTACATTTAATTGTTGTCCTTACCAATATAAATGTGCACATATTCCCCTCCCAGTTACAATGCACTGTAGACAAACAGGAAGCATAAGTCTGTTAGTGTCGCATGGGAATTGTATGAAGGATGAATCGAAGGAAACAAATATCAGAGAACAGAAAAGGAAGGAAATAGATATGGCAAGAAAGGAAACAGATATCAGAGAAAAACCACTCAATTCAAAGCACTATCTAAGGAATAACTAAGGCGACGGTCATATATATGCATAAGTTTAGGCATGTATTTAGGATCTGAATATGTATTGTAAATTATATATACCGATTCCATTGTACAGAAACCTTAAGTTGAATACATTACAATGTTCCCTACAATTCTCTTGAATTCTTTATGGTATCAGAGCAGGTTATCTGCATCTGAATACTTGAATTTGTTCTTTCTTCACAAACAACCTTCTTTATCGCACAAATCAAATTCAAAAAAATCAAACCAATGGCTAGAAACAAGACTAAGCTTACCATCCAGAGCTTCCACCAAATGGCAAGCTTGGTTTCAGTAAAGCTATCAAGCTCAAACTTTCTTTTATGGAAATCACAAGTCTATCCATTAATTCGAAGCGCTTAGGTTACGCATCACCTTGAGGAGGAAGAGGCGCCAACAATGACAGTGATTAGAGATGAGAAGGAAGTGCCCAATCCAGATTTTGAAGTTTGGCAGAATAACGACGGGCTGCCTACAAGTTGGCTACTTTGAACCATGAATGAAGAAGCACTAAGTCTTGTTGTTGGATGTGACTCAACTTTTCAAATCCGGAAATGCTTAGAGGATCATTACCTAGCATCAACAAAAGAACAAGAAATGCAGCTCAAGGGACAATTGGCAATCAAACGAGGAGATGGTGAATCTCTCAAAGAATTCATCAGAAAATTCAAAAGAAGTTGTGATAACTTGGCTGCCATTAAAAAGCCTTTAGAAGACTTAGACATGGTGTTTCAACTTTCACGAGTTGTTGGAGCATGATATCAACCATATAATCTTGCTGTTTTATCCAAAGCTCCATATCCTACTTTTAATCAACATACTGCTGGTTTACAAAATAATGAAAGAGACTTGCAGAATGCAAAACAAGAAAACAAGGATAAAATTCCAGTTTATGCTCAAGCCTTTGTTTCACATAGGGGGAGAAGACATCAGCGTGGCAGAGGCTATGGTGGTGGCAAAAACTTCAATTCTAGAGGCAAAGGTTTTGTTCAAGCTGGGAATTACCATCACAATTGGACAAGCAATAACAGCAACAATAAAAGCTCAATGGTTAACAATAATCCTCCACTACAGCAACCCACGTCACAAAAATTTCAAGAGAAGACTGTAACACAAGGTAAGAACCTCTGTCAAATTTGTGGTATTGCAGGACACACTGCTTTGAAATGCTGGTATAGATTTGATCATGCATATCAAAGTGAAGAGCTACCTCAAGCCCTTGCAACCTTGAGCCTAATGGAAGATAAAGACCAGAATATCTATGTTGACAGTGGGGCTAGTGACCATATGATCTCAGATTCAGGTAAACTCTATACTAAGAGGCCTTATTATGGAAAACAAAAGGTTTTTGCAAGTGATGGCACTCTTTTGCAAATTTTTCATATAAAATCTACTACTGTTGGTTCTTTAAAACTTAACAATGTTTTAGTAGTTCCAGAACTTAAGAAAAATCTCCTCTCTATTAGTAAATTTACTGATGAAAATCCATGTGTTTTTGAATTCTCATCTAATGGTTTTGTGATTAAGGACTAGGAAACACAAGTGATTTTGACAATAGGAACTAGGAAAGGGCAATTGTATGCACTGGATGAAGGAGAAAAGCCTACTTTATCTGCCATTTCAAATAAAGCTATAGATTCCATCTGGCATTAGAGGCTAGGACACCCAAATTCTAGCATTCTTAAAACTCTAGCTTCAAAGAATAATATTTTTGTATCTAATTGGACTAAACCTCCTCTTTTGTGCACTAGTTGCCAAATGGGGAAGAGTTGTAAGCTTCCTTTTTCTAGAAATAATGAAAGAACAGATTTTCCTCTTCAAAAAATACACTGTGATTTGTGGGGACCTTCTCTAGTTCAATCACCTAACCACTTTACTTATTATGTGATTTTTGTGGATGATTTTAGCAGGTACACATGGTTCTATCCAATGCTCAGGAAATCTGACTTCCTTGGTGTTTTCTTGAAATTTCAGAAAATGGTAGAAAATCAGTTTAATTGAAAAATCAAGATTTTTCAGTGTGATGGTGGTGGTGAATTCTCTAGCATGGTTTTCACTAATCACCTAGTAGAATGTGGCATTAAGCAACAAGTGTCTTGCCCTGGTACTCTAGAACAAAATGGAGTCGTTGAAAGGAAGCATAGACACATGGTTGAGACACATGGTTGAGACACGTTTGACTATGTTACTCCATTCTAACATGCCATCACGCTACTAGGTTAATAGCTGTTCTACTGCTATCTTTCTTATTAATAGAATGCCTACTCCTATATTAGTTAATAAGACTCCATATTATTTACTTTATGGCCAAGCTTCTAACTATTCTATGATTAAAGTGTTTAGATGTCGCTGTTTTCCCTATTTGAGAGATTATGCTACAAATAAACTTCAACCTAGATCTTTACCTTGTGTATTTATTGGCTATAGCTCAATTCATAAAGGATATAAGTGTTTACATCCTCCTACTCAAAGAATATATATATCAAGGCATGTTGTCTTCCATGAATATTTTCTCTCATACACTA